GGCGGGGGCGGCACTCGTGGGCGGCAGCGGCCCGGGATGTTGGCGGCTGCGACGCCGCCGGTGAGGGGGAGCGAGAGGGGGGTCCTGGCTCGGCCGCCCCCGCTTCTCCTGAGACCCCCCACTGCTTGCCCGGCGCTGCCGCTTCACTCCCCGCGGCGAAACCCCAGCATGGGGCTTCTCCTTCCCCTCTTTGTCCGGCTCCTCCTGCGCCGCCACCGCCCGTACTACGCGCACTGCTCCGACCTGCGCAGCCATTTCACCCACAAACACACATTTAAATGGCCCGACCGCCCCCCCGTCCGCGCACCGCGCAAGCGCCACTTGCGCACGGCCCTCTGGGCATTGGAGTCTCTCCTTCTCTCTCCATTTGTCGGCCGTGCTCGGCGCGGAGCGGAACATGCCGGAAGCGGCGGTGCCCAGCGCTCCGCGGGCCTCTCCCACCGAGCTTCTATTGTAAAGCGCCCTGGGCCGCGCAAAGACGCGTGGGACCCGTAGTCTCGCCGCCCCCGCCGCGTCCCTGGCGCTGAGTGGAGGAGCGGAGCGGGAGCGTGCGCCGAGTCACGCTTCGGGCTGCGACGCAACGGCAGCCGGCCGGCGAGTTGCCGCCAACCGCCCTAACGGCCCGAACATTGTTAATGGCTCTCCGAGTCTGGCTGCGCGCTCACGTTATCGTCTGCCTGCGTCCCTTCGTCATTTTACACTGAATAGGTGGTTTCCATGGTGACTTCTGCACGTCGTGTTGCTCTCACCACCCTTTGTGAGGTAGAAGAATCTCCGGCCTTGTCCCGTGACAGACGGTACCGTGAAGGGAAAAAGAGGATTTACTGTTACGCAAAATGACGGTAGTTTTGCTGCGACGTGCAGTAGGGCTGCAGTTAGGTGTTTGGAAGCGCCTTCCGGGCGTTGCTGTGGTCCCAGCTACAGGCGTAACCAGACAGGTGCGCGACCTGCCTGGCGGCCCGGGAACCCGCTGGGGCTACGGAAGACCCGAGGTGGAAAAGCCTGTTTTCATTTTTATATGATTTTTTCCAGATCATAAGTGTAAGGTTGCATAAATTTGAAGGGCGTGTCTACCAGTGAACACTCCCCAGATCGTCACCTTCACCAAGGGAAATTTTATTTAGACTTTCGTCACTCAACTTTTAACTAGGATTCTTTTAATGCATTTGGTCTTTAACAACGATATTTGAAAATAATTGGTTGCAGTGATACACAGAAGATAAAATTACTGCTTTGATACCACTAATTCTTACAGAATTACATAAAACTAAGTGAACACTGCTGTAATGAAGTTTGTTTCAAAACAAGAAAGTTAGCAGGCCGTGGTGGCACACGCATGTAATCCCAGCACTCGGGAGGCTGAGGCAGGAGGATCGTTGCTAGTTTGAGGCCAGCCCTGGCTACAAAGTGAGCTCAAGGCCGGCCTAAACTGCATAGTGAGACCCTGTCTCAAAAAAAAAAGTTCATTGATACCTATTGGGTATACTGTACTAGGATAGGGTAAATTGAATGACACATTACTTATCATTAGGCTTCCTAAGAAAAAGTACTAATGAGAAAATACTGTTAATACTGTTTCTAAAAGGTATAAATAAACTTCTTTAAATGAAAAGATGTTATGTCACTAGGATAAGCTAATCCTTTCTAATCTTACTGATATAGTAAATTATTTGCTACATAAAATTAGATTTGGAATGTCAAATTGTCTTAATACAAATCCATATACAGAAATTTAAATAACCAGTACCTCTGGTTGATTGTATAGAAATTGCACGTTTATATAGGACCTTTAATATAAAGACAGTGCTACCCAAAGGTAGCAATTTTCTTATTTTTCTAGAATTGGTAGTTGAGATTAAAACATAGCAGAAATGTGGTTGACTATCTTGCTGTTGATATATGCAAATAAAAAATACAAAAAATGTTGTTATTTGTACATCTTATTCTGTTAAATGTAACTTCTTTTCTTACTACTCCAGTCTCCCACAACGTTTAGAAAGATAAGTGACCCCATTTAGGCAAAAATAACTCCTAGAGAATAGACATTGTCACAAGCAGTAATTTTATACTGCAACTACAAGGTAAGAATAAAACTAATTTTTGTATTATGTTCTGACCGTGTAGAAATTTAATTGAAATCCACTTCTTAAAAAACTTTTTATATGTACCAACTTCCCACAAAGAATGTAAACATTATGTACTACACACATGTACTGATAAGCTAAAATTTTTTTAAGCGTATTTACTCTCAGAAAAGACTGAAAAAAACTTTGTATTTCAGTCATACATGGTGATACACCACACATTGGGAAGGCTGAGGCAGGAGGATCACTTGATCCCAAGAGTTCTAGACCAGCCTGGATAACAGTGAACAAAAATGAACAAAAATTTACATTTATGTAAAAAAGTAGAATAGCGTCCACAAGTAAAAACTAAATCCATTTTTAAAATGTTTCTCATACAGCAGTCTCTTCATAAACTCAAATGAACTTTTTATTTACAATTTTGAACCCAGTGTAAATGATAGGAAAATGCAAAACTTCTGGACTTTTTACACACTGATTTTCTTTTAAAAGTTATTAACCGTATATCTTCTTTATGATATTATGAATATACAGCACTTATTTTAGCTAGCCAGTAGTTGTGTTTGCAGACAATTTGCATTCCATATTCTTATAAATCCTGAGTTTATTAAATATTCCAAGATGGTGGTGGGTTCCGTGGTCCTTTGGGTTTTGAAAAACGATTTGCAAAACCTGAGGACAAAAATAAAAATGAACAAAGAGGTTATTTTTTAAAATACAGAAGTAAAGCCAGGCATAAGCTTTATTATTATGGTCCATACCTATAATCCCAGTACTCTGGGATGCTGAGGCAGGAGGATCATAAATTCAAACCCAGCATGGGAACATAGCAACTTAACAAGGGCTCTGGTTGAGTTCAGTCCCCAGTACTAAATTAAAAAATACTTGGAATTTACAGAGTAACACATATAAATACATGGATTCTTTTCAAAAGTCCAGATAACATCTTTGACCAATTTAGTAGTAGATTGTAAGGACATTATAGTTATTTAAAACTTAAATGATAACAGAATACTTACTTTATTTTTGTAGTGCTGGTGATATCTAGGGCACTGTGCCACCGGGTTTGATCTACCACTCTGCCACCCCCCCACCTGGTTACTAATATTTTAAATTTGTAGAGCACTTATAGATTTAATAATGGTAATATCTGGATGGAAAAGCTGGTTATAATAACCTTTGATAATTCAGTACATTAAATCATTTATATACATTTTTATCCACATCCACTCATCACAAAATTCAATATCAGTTTCACAAAACTCAGAACTATTTCTTTCATATTATATATTAAATCCAGTTATACCTCTCTGTAAGCTCAGAAAGTTGTGGATTACTAACCAATTATGTTAGAAGAGATTAGAAAAAAGTAAACTAATAATCCTGGAAAACTAAATAGTTGAACAATCACTTTTACTTGTCTTTTTCCCTCAAACTCATACCCCCTACCTCCCACAAAGGAAGATGAGGAAAATTTTCACAAATAATGAAGGCTATTTTGGGGTGCTGTCAGAAGATTTGCACATTGATGATATTGGTTTTTATCACTTCAGCAAAACATGCCTTTCCTTTTTTGATGGTAGTATATTTTCAAGGCATCCTATACTTAGTTAACTTCAAGGGCTTAAATTAAGAAAAGTTTGAAAATCAGAAAAACAACAGTGCATGGAAAACTCAAAAGATATTCCTAAACCTTTTATTTCATTGCCTTACCTAGTAACTCTTCAAATGTTACCTAAATCATGATTTACAAAAAACTATACCAGAACTGGAAGAATAATAGCATAGTAGAAAAAGGGAAAATACAATGTAAAAAAATAAGACTAGTAAACCAATAAAATTAACAGGGGCAATAAAAAAAAAATTGGAGGAAGGATCCACAGCCTAGTCCATGTACATTTTACCCCTGTGAATAACAAACACTAGATAGAGGGTAAAATATTTCATGTTAAATAACTGTATACAGTAATCAAATACCTCCTCGGTACAGATATTTTGACTGTAATCCAAGTGGATCGAAATCATAAGTAAGGACATGTTACCTGATGAAGTATGTAAGATAGAAGGAATTCTTACATTTAGTCTCCTTTATTGTTCAATTCTCAATAGAAATGAGGTTTTGTTTTGTTTTTTTTTTGGCATGTGGGTTAATTCAGGAAACATGAACCACAAGTTTTTCTTTCAAATTTAAATACGTTTTGAAGTAATGTATCCTTGCAATTAACATTTCTTTCTTTATAAAAAACAGCAGTGAAAAAAATAAATTCTGCTTTTCTAGTAAGTAAACTGTTTGAATCTAGGCATATTTAAGGAGTAACACGGAGGCAGCTCTCTAATATTCTATCTTCAGACCACTGTGAACTTATGTAGACTATAAATTAGACTGGCTTAGAGAAAAAGAAGAAAATATGACCAGTATGTTCCAGGCAAAGTTGAATGCTTTTTCATAGTTAATGCAATATTTTACATAAATGGTATTAACTAAATGATTCCATAAAATCATATATATATTTTTTTGAGACAGAGTCCCACTCTGCAGTTCAGACTGGCCTTGAACTCACTATGTAGCCTAGGCTGGTCTTGAACTCACAGTGATCCTCCCGCCTCAGCCTCCCGAGTGCTGGGATTGCAGCTGTGCACCACCATGCCCAGCCATAATTTTAAATAATATTTTAAACCATAGAGTTAATAAAATCCAAACAAAATTTTATGGTTAAAGAAACAAATACAGAAATTCTAGTTAGAGATGATCTCAAACTGAAATAGGGGCTGCAACACAAATATGGCAGAGATTTGTAATTCTCTATCAAAATCTCTCTCTGCTTTTTTCATGGAAATAAAAAATTGTATCTGGGCAATTGTATATGAGGTCTGACCAAGAAGTACAGTGAATGTTTAAATTTTTAAATTATTACAGTAAAAGACACATTGCCATGAGACCCCTTCAAAATACTCTCGGGGTCCTCCATATCCTTTTGGAGGTCTGCTTTTTGGTTAATAAATTTAGTAGTAAGTAGCCCACATTAATTGACAGACTTAGAAATTATACTATAATGTCATTTTTAGTATCACAAGTACAAGTCATACAGAAAAATACAATGCTTAAAATAATACAAAATTACCATCTAGTTTATGTCTTATACTTAGAGTCAAATGGCTAAGCAATTCCTTTATTTTTATAGCAGTTCCTATAAACTCAAAATTATACTTCATCTCCTACTGTTTACTGAGTTATATAAGATTAGATAGCAACTGCTTTTGTTTTCACACTTGTATATTTTTTGTAACTTTGTTATAGGTATGAATGAGACTAGAGCATCTCAGTTTCATTTTACTAGTCATGTTTATTTACTACATGCTAGTATAATTTAGTTATCTATATTTCTTTTCCACGTATGCTAGACAACTCAGCCCTATTTGAGATGTTAAGATGTAGCTGAGAAATGAGGGTGTTGCTCAGTGGTACAGTGGTTGCCTAGCATGCATGATGCCATGGGTTTGATTTTTAGCACTTAAAAAAAAAAGGTAGCTGAGGTTAAAAAAAATAAATTACATGGAAAAGAATGTAAATATAAGGATCTATACTGTAAAATTATATTTTCTTTAAAAACTCTGCTATAAAATAATGCACATACCAAAACTTGGAAATGATCTGGAATTATTTGACGGGATAGATTCTACAGGCTTACTTGATGAGGAAGAATTACAGATACCTATAATCAAAAGAAAAAAACACAAGGGGAACAATGAAGACAGACTCATATTACTGTTTATCAAATTGCATAAATGAGATTAAACATCCCCAGAGTAACTAGTATTCCCAAAATAAATATATCAGTATCAGATGTTAACAAAAATACAGGTACTTACAAATGGTTGCCACCATAATCTTTGTTTTGTTTTGTTTAATGGTTGTTTTTTTTTTTTTTTTCACATAAGGAAGCATTTATTTGGGGTTTAACATGAGAAATCATACAAATAAAATTTGTATGAACACAAATCGAGAGTCATAACACACAGCAAAGAACAAAGTAAAAACAAAACTAATTGGCAGCTATATACAGTTGGACACAGTTGTGTTTTGTACACTAGAAAGTCTTTTACAAAATAATCATTAGAGCAACAGACCAATCTTCAGTGCTGTCCTAGAAGATTTCTTATGCATCTCCTGTTTTCTCCAATGTCTTCCTCTTTAGTTTGGCTGGTAATTATTTTGGTGGTTGCCACCTCCTCGAGATGCCTTGCCATAAGTTCTCTGTTGACCACTGCAGTCTGCATGTCCCTGGCCGTATCCGTAGTTTCCATAGTTATACCCAGTATAATCTTATCTGCCATCACCACTATAGTTTTGATCACCACCATAGGCACTATTGTAATTTCCATATCCTTGATCATAATACTTATTAAATCCTTGGTTCCAGTTGTGGCCCTGACCTCCGCCACAACCCCTAGTACCACCTCATCCACCAGGTGCAGTGCCTTTTCCTCCGTTTTGTTTAATGAGTTTTTTCTTTGCAATCAGATAATGTAGTAAATCCTAACACTAAAGAAAACTGCTAAAGGAATGAGAACCATTATATCCTGAATCAGCCTTTTTTGGGATTCACATTTTAGCTTTGTACTTTGTCTTTAACCACTCTTAGTACACTTCTAAATCTTCATTTTAGTGGCTGGGGATTTAGCTCAGCAGCACAGTGCTTGCCTGGCAAGTGCAAGGTTGTGAGTTCGATTCCCAGTACCGGAGAAAAACCAAAAAATAAAATAAAATAAAATAAAAGTAAATCTTCACTTTATTTATTCATCGATGGTGAGTCTGTGACTTTTCTTCCATTATTCTCTAGTTCTAGAATCTCTCTTCATTTTCAAGCCTACTTTTTTTCCAATTTTAGACGATTCTAATTTAGATCCATAGTTTCCCAGAAGCCTTGTTATGCTACTTTGTTATGCTGCTTTGTTTTGGTTTTTTAGTTGCTTACATGCAGTGTTAAAAAATATATATGTATTCCAGTGCTGTAATATATACAAATATTAGCTTGCTCCCTATTTTCTTCCCTGCCCAGTTTTTAAAACAATCCAATGGAAACTGGTCCACATCTTCACACAGGTACTATCTTGCAATGAAAAAAGATAATTTCAGTTTGGATAAATTTTCTAACAAATAGCATGCCTATAATCCCAGCACTCGAGAGGCTGAGACAGGAGGATTGGCACGAGTTCAAGGCCCGCCTGGGCTACATAGTGAATTCAAGGTGAGCCTGAACTAGATAGTGAGACCTTGTCTCAAAAAAAATTTTCTAACAAACAGCATATAAATGGGGAGAGGCTATTAAATATTCTCATTTTTGTTTTCAGCATTTCAGAGTGCAATATGAGAACTGCATATATGTATTTGCACATGCATACCTAAATATGAAGATTCTAGAAGCACCTTCCCTTCTGGGAGATAATTGAGTATGAATTACTAGAATATATACTAAGATTTCAATCATATCCAATTAAATATATATTTGTTGGTACCTACTGTGTGACAAGCATTAGGCTAGGCCCTGAGGACAGACATGAATACAAAGTGGATGAAGGTGAAGAAGTTCAGGAGATAACAATCTCTATACTGCATATGGGCTGAGTGCTTGTTACAAAGGAGCAAAAATCCTACACGTGTATATTGGAGGGAATGCTATTTTACATAATGACATACCTTAGATATTTTCTAAAAGAAAAAGTAAAAGTGGGTGTGCAAATCATTAAGCTGCTAGAATTTGCAGCGTGAATTTGGCAATGCTACAGGATTAATGCCCTGGTGAACTGTAAAAAAAAAACTTACTTTTATTGCTGAGATAAAATATCTGACCCCCAAAGATAAAGGGAGGGTAATTTTTAGAGTAGTTTACAGAGTCTGGATATTAACCCTTATCAGAAGAGTGGCTGGCAAAAAAATTTCTGCCATTCGTAGGTTGTCACTTCACTCTGTTGATTGTTTCCTTTGTTGTACATAAACTTTGCGGTTTGTTGTTATCCGATCTGTTGATTCTATTCAGGAAGTCCTTGCCTATGCCTCTGGCTTCAAGTGTTTCTCCTAAGTTATCTTCCATCATTTCAATATTTCTGTTTGTATATCTAAGTCTCTGATCCATTTTGATTTGATATTAGCATAGGGTAAGAGACATGGATCTCATTTCAATAACTGCATGTGTATAACCAATTTTCCCAGCACCATTTGTTAAAGAAGCTATCTATTCTCCAAGTGTTTTTGGCCCTTTTATGAAAAATCAAATAGCTGAAAGTGCATGCATTTGTTTCTCTGTTTTATGTTCTATTCCATTGGTCTACATGTCTATTTTTGTGCCAGTGTTGTGCTGTTTTTGTTATTACTGCTCTGTAGTATAATTTAAAATCTAAAATTGTGATGCTTCCACTTTGCTCTTTTTGCTCAGTATCACTTTGACTATTCTGGTCTCCCTGGTTCCATATAAACTTTAAGATTTTTTTTTTCTAGTTCAGTGAAGAATACTGTTGGCTAAAAGCCAGGCGTGGTGGCATATGCCTGTCAATCCCAGCACGCAGGAGGCTGAGGCAGGAGGATCTTTGCGAGTTTAAGGCCAGCCTAGGCTACAAAATGAGCTCAAGGCCAGCCTGAACTGCATAGCGAGACCCTGTCTCAAAAAGACAAAATATATATATATATATATATAGTTGGTAGTTTAATAGAGGTTACATTAAATCCATAGATCATTTTGATAGTACAAACATTTTAACATTAACTCTGCCTATCCAAGAACAGAAGATGTCTTTCCATTTTTATGCATCCTCTTCAATCTCTTTCTTCAGAGTTCTATAGTTTTTATTATGGATGTCTTTCACCACCTTGTTTAGGTTGATTCCTATGTATCTCTTTCTTTGTTTCCTTTGTTCTTTCTTTCTTTCTTTTGATGCTATTGTGAATGGGATTGTTTTTCCTGATTTCTTTTTTTTGTCTTTTTTTTTTTTTTTTTTTTTTTGAGACAGGATCTGGCTATGCAGTTCAGGCTGGTCTTGAGCTCATTTTGTAGCCCAGGCTGGTCTCAAACTTACAACCATCCTCCTGCCTCAGTCTCCTGAGTGCTGGGATTACAGGTGCGCACCACAACGCCCAGCGGTTTTTCCTGATTTCTTTCTTGGTGAGTTTCTTATTGGTGTACAGGAACACTATTGATTTTGTCTGTTTGTTTGTTTGTTTGTTTGTTTGTTTGAGACAGAGTCTTGTTATGTGGTTCAGCTTGCCTTGAACTCACTATGTAGCCAGCGCTGGCCTTGAACACAGTGATCCTCCTGCCTCAGCATCCCAAGAGCTGGGATTACAGGTATGTGCCACCACACTCAGCTAGCACTGTAGATTTTGATGTATTAGTATTGGATCCTGTCACTTTGCAGAATTTGTTTATCAGCCCTAGGAATCCTGTGGGGAAGTATTCTTGAGGGGAGTCTTCTACATATAAGATCATATCGTCTGCACACAGGGATAATTTGACTTGTTTTCCTCTACATATCCCTTTTATTTCTTTGTTTTTCCTGCTTTCTTTGGATACTGTTTCAAGTACTGTATTGAACAGGAGTGATGAGAGTGGAGATTCTTGTCTCATTCTTGATTTTAGATGGAATCCTTTCAGCTTTTCCCCCATGATGTGGGCTGTGTGTTTGTCATATATGGGTTTTATCAGTTTGAGGTAATGTCCTTGTATTCCTATTTTCATCAGGATTTTTAAACATGAAGAGATGTTGGAGCCAGATATGGTGGCACAAACCTGTAATCTTGGCCCTCAGAAGGCTGAGGCAGGAGGATTGCCACAAGTTTGAGGCCAGCTTGGAGAAAGAGTGAGATCCTATCTCAAAAAGGACAGAGAGAGAGAGAGAGACAGAGACAGAGACAGAGAGAGACAGAGATGTTGGATTTTATCAAAGGTTTTCTCTGCATCTATTGATATGATTATGTGATTTTTATACTTTATTTATGTGGTATGTTTCACTTATTGATTTATGTATGAATGATATATCTTTCCATCCCTGAGGTGAACCCTACCTGTTTATGGTGTATGTGGAATTTTGTACACAAATACCTTATTGAGGATTTTGGAACCCTATTCATCAAGGATATTAACCTATAGTTTATTTTTATTTTTATATTTTGAGTCCTTATTGAGTTTTACTATCACAGCTGGCTTCATGAAATGAGTTTGGAAACATTCTTTCCCTTTCAATTATAAGGAAAAGTTTGAGGAGTATTGGCATCAGTTCTTCTCTAAAGTTCTCTTAAAATTCAACAGTGAATCCATCAGACCCTGGGATTTTCTTAGTTGTAGAATTTTTATTTATGGCATCAATTTCATTGCTTGTCACTGGTCTATTCAGTTTTTAAATCTTCTTGGTTCAATTCTGGTAAGTTATATGTGTCTGGAAATTTATACATTTTTTTCTATATTCTCCAATTCATTGGAATGTAAGTTTTCAAAATAGCGTCTAATATTCGTCTGGATTTCTATGGTTACCTATTATAATTTCACCTTTTTTATTTCCAATTGTATTATGGTGGATCTTCCTCTTTCATTTAAATTCACCTGAAAATTTGTTAATCTTGTTTACGTTCTCAGAGAATTCGCCTTAAAGTCATTGATCCTTTGTATTTTTTTTTTAGTCTCAAATTCACTGATTTCTTCTCATTAATTTCTTTCCTTCTACA